TTCTATGATTATTTTATTTTTTTTTTTTTTTTTTTATATTAGCACAAAAATTAGGTCTCAATAGACCCTTAACTGAATTGCTAAACCTGAGTTAAGCATGCGTGAGTGTGGTCTCTTTATGGGTTTAGGTTGGAATTTCTTTTTTACTATTTCTAATATAATACAATATAATATAAATACTTATAACAAAATAAAATAAAAAATTGTTAAAGATAATTATTACTTGACTTTCAAGATTATTTAACGTATAAGGTGGATATAATACAATATAATTATTACTTGACTTTCAAGATTTTTTACTATTTCTAATATAATACAATATAATATAAGGTGGACTATTTAAAATAATTATACACTTATAAACTAAGTCTAACCAAATTAATTCACCTAATTATTTCACAACATTATTATTTAATTGTGGGTAAAAGTAAAGAAAAGAGGAAATTGCAAAAAAAAAAAAAAAAAAAAAAACACTAAAATTTTCTATTATTTAACAGAAAATAAACTAGAAAATAAAAAAAAAATACAAAGTAAAATGTAAATTATAAGAAAACGCAGAAAACAATACGTGGGAGGGGGAGGAGGGGACAGTAATTAAACAAAGATGGAAGAATACAGCACACAAATACAAGGCAGTGGGAAGTGGGAATTAATTAATTAATTACGATAATAATAATAATAATAAAGAAGTTGAATTTGGGGTTTAAGAAAAACCGATGGTTTTGCCAAGCAGCCAAAGAACCAAGGATAACTCTATTCCAAAGATGGTGTGGAGTGTAGTCCTATCCAGGGTAAACCCGTATATGGTTATCCCAGCTCTGTTGTTCTCGAAGTACGTCACTGCATTCACCAACCAAACCAAACCAAACCCATTAATCAATACTTAATTTCTACTTAATTTTCGATTTAGATTAGGAATTTTGGGATTACCTAAGGCCTGTCTCTTTTGGAATGAGATGGTGCTGTACGCGTAGGCTGGGATCAACTTGGTGTTGTCCAGTTCATCTTCTTCGTCGCAACCTTCCTCCCCCTCTGATTCCTCATCGCCGCGCGGTGTCACCGGAAACATAAGGTTTCCGTCGGTGGGAGCGGCGGCAGCCATGGGGGTCTCCCCGTCTGTCACGTCGAAAGAATCCAACGTCGCACACACGTGCCACTTGGCAGCTAGCGCCGTCACTGACTGCGCTTTGTGGGTGATTTTTGTGGCGCTCCGTAGAAGTATCATCAGACTTGTCAGTAGCGTCATCGAGCACAGCTGCACCCATTTTCATACTTGTTTTTAATTCAATCTAAAATTAATTGCAATCAAACAGATATTCTCCAATTTCGCTTTCAGCATTTCCGTTTTAAAACGAATTTGTTAAGAGGGGTTTGATTTCGCGTACCGCAAGTTCGCCGGCGATGTAGATGTTGAGGGAGGAGGACTTGGTAGTCATGAGTAGAGAAGTGAACTGGCTGCCGGTGACGAGGATCAACGACCACAATATGAAGGCGCGGTACCGGTGGCTGATGATTCTCAAGTGCCGTCTGATTCTCAAATGCTCGGAAAGGACCGACCCCACGTCGGAGTCTACCTGGAACACGGTGGCGAAGTCCTGCAGCCGTAGGATCTGGAGGTCGCAGATCAGACGGAAGAGGATGCACACAAGGAAGATCACTGTGGTTCTGTACAGCCACGACAGCAGCTCCATGGAGCACGCTACTGCGTCGCTCACTATAACGTTCCCCAGGAATGGGATTTGCGACGCGCCTGACGCGTACCACCAGATTTTGTACGCGCTCTCCGCCGCGAAGCATGGGACCACAAATGCTGATAGTACTCTCAGTGATCTCTGCAATAAATAAATAAAAATAAAAATAATTAAATTAAATTAAATTGTCTTTTTCTTTTTCTTTTTGTTTAAGTTCATTTCTAAGCATTATTTGTCCCTATAAATAATTTTTTAAATTGTTCTTTAATTAAAAAAAAAAAGGATATTATTTCTAAAAATAGAATTTGAAAAAATAAAACAAATTCGGAGAAGTTCATATTAAAACGAGTCTAAACGCTGAATGAGTTCTTACCAGAAACAGAAAAATACCGCAATCAAAGGCAAAAAAATTCCAAAGAAGTTGACAGGCAATTGAATGGACAGAAAACCGAATTAAACCAGCAGATTTGTCCAAAAGCCAGATATTAATCCCTAAATCTTTCACAAATTCAAGCTCTCTCTTAACTTCCATGGAAATTTCTCTTAACAATTTACCTTGAATTCAAATTCAAGAACAAAAACGATTGAACAATCAAGGAATCAGAATCCAGATCCAATCAGTGGAATGCGAAGAAGGAGATAGATAGATGAGTTGCGAGTTGGAATATAACTTACATTGAACTTGTTGGTGTATCCTCTTCTCACAGTTTCGCTTTCATCGCAGAGCCTATCGAAGAACAAGAATCTCCTAAGTCCGTACCTCCTGATGAAATTCGAAAGGCAGAGGAAGGAAACCGTCGCCACACTGCTGAGCGACAATTGAACGACGCGATCGAACGGCCTGGCGTGATGGCTATCACAGGAAGAACAGGCGAGATGGAAATGCGAGGTCGCTGGAACGACGATAGCGAAGAGGAAGAACACCGACCACGACAATCCAGCGCTCCAAATGTCCGATTGATCCACGCACATCCATCGCAAATACGATCTGAAGCTATGCAATTCGTCCTGAGCGTGAGAGGCTGAGCGATTGAACACCTTCGCCTTTCTGCTAATCAACGCCTCTCTGCTGGTGTCGCCCATGGCGATTGCGAGCGAAACTCAGGATTGTTGATTGTTCCTCCCTCCCCTGCTTGATTTCTTCGCTTTTTGTACAAATTGATAGGGACGAACAGGATTCCGATTGTGGATTGCTTGATTGAAGATGATGATGATAAGGAAATTGGAATTTCTTTCACTTCACCTTTTATAGGTTTGATTTGTTGAAGGTTGAAGGAGAAGGGATTTGCAGAGAAGAACGAAAAAACTTCGCAACAATTGGGTTTAGGGGTTTTTTATTTTTATTTTATTTTATTTTATTTTATTTTTATTTTCATTTTCATTTTTATTTTCTTAAAAGATACAAATGGAGGAGCGTATGTGGACAACATAAACAAAGTGAAGGATCACAGGCAAGAAAATGACACGTGGCGATGCTTAATTCATTGCTTTTTTATTTTATTTTATTATTATTTTTTTGTTTCAAAGTCTTCTAGATTATTTGAAAATAGTGCAATTTATTAAAATTTCATCTTATAACCTAATCAAATTAATAACTTATTATTGAATTTATGCTCAATTTATGGTTATGTGTCGAATCTATTACGGAGGAAAAAAATATATATAATTTTAAATAATTTATCTACTCATAGCTAGCTAATATATTCTCGTCTGTCACGTCAAAAGAATTTTTATATTTAATCCTTTTATATATATATATATATATATAAAATGTTATTCAAAAAGCTTATATTTAGGTGATCTCTTGAAAATGAGGATAAAACAGGACTAGTAAGTAACGTGGTCATGTCGTAATGGATATAGGAGAATATTGCGGCCATTAAACGTGAAATACGGAGTCTAAATCTTGATAAAAATTTAGGGCATGGAACGTTAATATAATTATTTATTTATATGAGATTAAATATTTGAGTCGAGAGGATTAGAATAAAAATTTTCCATAACTAAACATGATATGATATAATATAATGTGACATAATTGGGATAGTAATTTTTAAAGCTTGGACTTCCACATGGGCATGTTTGGTTTATATAAGAGAATTTCATGTAAAACAAGCAATAATATTAAATTATATAATGATAGACAGTTGGCATAGAGAACCAATTAAAATACACCACGTGGGATGCCTGAGATCGACCGATCCAGCGACAGGGGCTTGTTTGATGGGTCAATGCGCAGTTTTGTTGACTTTTAGTGATAACGTGGGTTATTTTTATTGGTTCTGTTTTCTCTTTTGTCTTTTTATGGTTTTTTTTAATAATTACGAAGTAATTAAACTACATTTTTTTTTATTTATAATGTTTAAAAATATTTTATTAAACCTACACGCTTTAACCTGATTACCCAACCCAAAACATAACATAATTCCGATTGGGTTGCGTTAGTTTTTTTTTTTTTTTGGTGAAAAATCGAAAATTCGAGTTTGTTCATGGGTTGACATTTTTTAGTCATGTTAACCTAACCCACTTAAAAATAGGGTTATAACATAACTCAACCCAACTCAACCCAACCAGACTCTACATGCAACCTAACCCAACGAGACTCTACTTGCTTTATCAGATTTTACGGTAAAATAAATAAAGTTTTTATAAATGATTAAAAAAAACAACCGGACAACCCTACCCAACTAAAAAATAGACCGTTAGTTTGAGTTGAGTTGTGAAATGTATTCAGGTTGTCGAAATTTTACGTTCGTACAAAAGATTTCCTTAACTCAACCCAACTCAACCCGTGTACGCCCAGTATAAAATATTGTGTAGGAGAATAATAAAAAGAAAAATTGTAAAAGAAGAAAAAGGAATAATGAAAAGATAATACAATAATGAAAAATATATCTCACATTATACAATTCCCTCCCTTTATTGATGGGATTAATTGGGAATAAATAATAATAATAATAATAATAAATTCTATGCTTTCAAATTAGTATAATAATTGTAATTAAGAGACATAATTAATAGACTAAGATAGCTTCACATGCACTCCAACACAAACATCCTTGTTTAGTTGTCTGGTTTAAGGTTAAATATGAAAATAATTTAAAAGTTAAATACTTTTAAAATATATATTTTAATTTAAAAATGGTTTGTAGGATTAATTTTCAAAAATAAAAAAACCAAAAATTTGGATCGTGAACGAATATGGCTTAAATTTTTCATTTTGAATGTTACGCGTTTTACACATTTTTGGCCTATTCGACGGTTTTATATTTTGTTTATGTGTTATTATATCATATATTGTTCAACTACGAAGACCAAAAGAGATAACTTACTATCCACGGACATTCATGACACCTATCGTTTGACACTGCATGAGGAATCGAGTATGTGAAAATAGTCTTAGCAGTGACTCGTGCTCGTAGTCAGATACTTTCACCACAAAGTGTTTGTGAGTTGGAACGAAGGTAGAAGTGACAACTCGCTTTTTGTTCCTATATGTTTTATGTCACGGTCGTACAGTTTCAATCCGACAACCCGAACCAATCCAACCCGAACTATAAGGGTTGGGTTTGGTTGGATTAGCATTTCGAGTAGGGTTGGGTTCATTTTTCTGAACCCGAATTGAATCGGTTCGGTTTTGGGTTCGTGGGACAAACCCTTGGGTTGACCCGAGCGACCCAATCCAAATAAATATATAAAATATATTAAAAATCTTACAATATTAATGAGTTTGTCAGAGTGGTAATTTGGCCGATCTAGTGAGACCAACGCCCGGATTCTTTTTTTTTTTACATGTCGCATATTTGAATATTTTTATTGTTTATTTAATTTCATGATCTATCCTTATATTTTTTTTTGTTACTCTAACCAATTTTTAAAAAAAATATCGGTATTTAATTGATTTGTGTTTGTGCGTTAACTTTTAATATATTTTATCTAAATTGTATCTGGATTAATAAAAACCAACCAAAAAATAGAGGGTTGGGTTGTGAAAAGTTTTAGATTGGGTTGGGTTACCATTTCAACCAACTCCCTTTTAGGTTGGGTCAAAAAATTCCCTCAACTCAACCTAACTCGAATCATGTACACTTCTAATGCTCATGACAAACTTTAAAAGGAACTCGAGCCCTATGAACATGTTTTGCCCAACTCTATGACTTTGTCGAAACTAATTAATTTAGTCTTATTTAAAAAGCTTTCTCTTTTTAATTTCTTAGTATAGAGATAATCGACATCTACAACAAATCTCATTTGTATACCCGACAATCTTTTCCGAACAAATAAACTTATAATAAAACCTAAGATGACATACTCCCGTTAAACAAAGAGCTACTCCGCCAGTCCACCGCCGGCCGAGCAGCGATCCTTCGATGAATACAATGGCTTCCACTGTCCCTTCGGTTCGGCTAACCATATCCACACATACCATACACACAACGAACACGAAAACGACATTTATTCCCACATCTCCCACAATTAAACCGGCTAATATTTACATCAACACACAAACCTCTACAACATCGTCGCGGAAACGGGCAGATCTTACCACAAAACCCGCAGTTTTCGACGTCGAACCGAACATCAACACATCGATGTTTACAACACCTCATGATCTTCTTTCTCTTCCATCCATCCTTTTGATTCTTCCAACAGAAGTGTTGTTTTCGGAAGCAATTATGGTTTTGAAAAAACTCGATATCGGCGTCGTGGTCGGTGTAATCGTCGAGCTTGTTGTTTAGCCACGGGGACGAGGGTAAGGCTTCGGGTTCGGGTTCGGGTTCGGCTTGGATGAGGAAGAAGAGGGAGAGGAGAAGGGAAAGATGGGCTAAGGTTGAGAGAGGCATTAATGGAGGGTTTTAGAAGAAAGAAAGGGTGTTTTTTCATGTTTTGGTTGAACAAAAATCAGTGTTTTTTATACTTTTCTTATTACATCAGTTACGCCATTGCTTCAGCTTCAAGTAATTAAACTCTTGGGAGGGAAATTGGGAGATGAGAAGGAAAACAAAGATAACTTTTTTTTACTTTTTTTTTTACTTTTTTACCTTTTTTTTTTTTTTTTTTAATTGAAAAATGAAGAAATTAAATTTTATAATTTTAAAAATTCACCGACCAACCTATATTGTCCGGGATAAGTATGTTTTGTCTCCTCCTCAACCAACGTGGGATATCACGATCCACCCCCGTTCAGGACCCAGCGTCCTTGCTAGCACTCGTTCCTTTCTTCAATCGATGTGGGACGCCCGCCAGTTCCACGCCCCAACCTTTAACGGGGACCTATCGTCCTCATGCACCTCCTTCAGGGTCCAGCGTCCTTGCTAGCACTCGTTCCTTTCTCCAATCGATGTGGGACCCCCTGCCAAATTCACGCCCCAACCTTTAACCTTTATAAATGGTGTTTCGTTCTCCTCCTCAACCAATGTGGGATATCACAATCTACCCCCTTCAAGGTCCAGCATCCTTACTGGCACACCGCCTCGTGTCTACCGGGAACAGTCTCCTCGCTAGAACATAGTCCGGTGTCTACCTTTGATACCATTTGTAACAACTCAGGCCCACCGCTAATAGATATTGTCATCTTTGGGCTTTCTCTTTCGGGCTTCTCCTTAATACTTTAAAACAACTCTATTAGGAAAAGGTTTTCACAACCTTACAAAGGATGTTCGGTTCAAATTTTTTATTTAACGGTAGATTTTAAAAATTGGAAAGGTAATAAATTAAATTTTATAATTTTAAAAATTCGTAAATTTATAACTTAAAACTATCAAACGAGAGCAGAGAGTCAAAACAGAACACAACATCATTAACTTTTTTACATTCCTATTTATTACTTATTTACCGTATTGAAGTTTGATTGAAAGAAAGTGTCGTGTCGAGAGCGACCTATGATGAACTAAAAGGTCAAACATATCAAATTACAAGTCGGAGAATGAATCCATTGTACTGTATATTCTATTAAGAATGACGGTGTCCAACTTCTTAAATGTTCAAATCTCTCAAAAGTTCAATATTCATAACCACTAAGTATAAGCGGTATGATGAAGAGAACACGAGAGTTAATAATACCAATAAAAAAAGTGAGGGACGAAGACGATATATCTTTATACGAGAGTAAACGAATAGCGTATCGTTGTGCTCTCGTTAAGCAACGACAACATCAACGAGCGAAAATCGTATGCTCGAGTATACCTTAATATAGTGTACTCGTATGTTCTTGAAGCTCAAGGCTTTGGCTTTAATAACTTTTGGGCTAAAAAATTAGACTTAGTTTTGTTGGGTTTGGGCCTAACTATAAGTTTAATTATTGGGTGAAATTT